AAACGAGCAAGAAAACCACGTCAGTTTCCGTTTGAAACAGTTTATCTCGAAAACGGTTCAAAATAGAAATAGTATTATCTGAACAAAGTTAATCTAAAATTGGATGTAGAGCTCAAAAATGTTGAAAATATACAGGGTGTTCCATTTAAAAAATGAGTTCCACTCATTTTGTGTGTCATTTTGAGAAAGTATTGTCTAATTCAAACTGAATTATTCAAGTTGAATACACCCACGAAAAACAACCAAAATCAATATTCGGACGCTAGTAATAATACTTTGTCAGAATTACTTACAAATCGCACTTGATGCTTGGATCACTAGAACGCCGGTACTGATATACAAACATTTCGCCATCGTTCATAAGGTCTCCGTAAGATCGGGTTTTTGTCATGTAACTAGGTGACGACTCTCTTGTGTCTGGACAGATTCTGGAACTCTCTCCAGGAGATAGATTATCTTCAAAAGATCCGAGATAAACTTCTGACCATAACTGCAAGTCTCTAATGTTGCACTGAGGCCATAATACCTGATAACAAAGTATATTCAGAATGTTTTATGGAATACAACTGATCACACAAAAACTATACGAGAATTACGAAACATCTAAATTCAGTACATATTTATTTATTTACGGACTTGCCATTATACAATGAACACATACATAGTGTGATTGAAAAAATAAAAAATTGAATAATAATGTAGAATACCAAAAAAAAACAAATATGTATCAATTAATTATTAATAATAATAATCAGCAGTTTCTTCAAAGTAGGTCAATGCTTTTAACCTAATTTTTAAAAAAGTACAAGAATGAGTCAAACAAACCAATACAGGTGCTATTCTTATTTGCTAACCTAAACATTCTAGTGATGGTTTCATTTAAGCCAGAGCTAGTAGAAAGGTAAGGAACTTTAAACAACTCCAACACTCTGGTTCTTCTTGAATTTATATTGAAGTTGATCATTTGTGTTACAAATGGACAGTTCAATCACCATTTATAACTTTATGAAGCTCAGCGACGCTCCAAAGTAGATACATTCAGAAGAAGCAGAATGTCTAAGTACTCATAGTCGGACCTCGGATATCCGAGCTTAATTGCACATGATCTCAGAAATTTGTTTTGTACTTTCTCAATCATAGATATATCTGTCTGATATAGATGACTCCATATGACGCAATCATTTTCCAAGACCGAGCGTACCAAAGAACAGTACAATATTTTAAATGTATTTATAGAAAATTTATCTGTGGATCGTTGAAAAAATGCCAATAATTTGAGTGATTTAGATAAAATGTGATCAATATGACCTTTAAAGGTTACTTTGCTATCAAACAACACTACCAAGACCCGAACGCTGTTAGTCAACGTTAGATTAATGTTTTTGATTTTATATGGATATACAATAGGTTTCACAGCTCTTGAAAATGTTGTTTGATAACATTTATTTATATTTAAATGAAGCATGTTTTCATCACACCAACGAGATAAGTTATTTAAATCTATCTGTAATAGTTCTGCATCACAAAAGTTATATACAACCCTGTGAAGTTTGACATCATCTGCAAACATTGAATAGTAGCTGTGGCATATGACATCCGACACATCGTTTACAAAAATAATGAGTATTGGGCCTATATGCGATCAGACGTTACAGAAATTTGTAATGATATAGAACCAGCATATTTAACATACTGAATTCTATTATCCAAATAACTCTTTTTCCATTTTGATATGTAACCATTGATGCCTAATGCTAGGAGCTTAGCCATGAGAAGATCATGATTTACCCTGTCAAAGGCTTTAGAGAAATCAGTATAAATAGATTCAATTTGGTGTTTTTCCTCTAGGTTATTCAAAAGAAAGTGTTGATAAAGCAATAATTTCGTAGCGTGGATCTACCAGATATAAAGCTATGTTGGTGTTCATTTATTATGTTTTTTGTATCGAATGTCAGTTTTTTAGTTATCAAACATCGAGTATTGACCAGTTCCATCACATTTCGATACATAAAAAACTCGGCAATTCTTATTCACAAAAAAGATATATAACTGAAGAATTATTGCTTGTGGCCATTCAGCATTCCTTTTTACAATTTTGATAATTGGGTATCCTCATGCTTAACTATTTATCCAAATATACTGTCACAAAAGCTACATAATCACTTCAAAAATATGAGTGCAATTCTCTCAGCATATAAGTAAGTGATTTCATGTTATCAGCTGCTCACTACTTATTAAATGTTGCATTTCATTCATCATCTGAGGATCCATTGATTTATTTTGGAGTTGAAAATTTTTCATAATCACAAACAAAGATAATTTTCAAACACTTTTCAATTACAAATCCAGCACCATTAGTCCTAAGGCTTCTCTGCTGATCAACTTTCCAGATTTAGATATTTAGTCATACCTTTTGAAACTCTTCAGTATTTCACTGATATAATTTTTTTATGGATTCATGTTATATTAACTTCAACAGTATCATTGAAAACAATGTTTTGTTTATATTTGTTGTTTTTCCCTATTTTTTATCTCAAAAAGGGTAATTTAAAAAAAAGTACCTACTCATTGAAAGTTAAAGTGTTTCAATGAGAGATAGTAAGCTTTCACAGCTGGAAAAAACAAAGTCAAAGCTATTTTCCAAGTTTGGTGGCAGTAACAGTCACAATTTTGTGACCAGCGATTCTTCTATAACTGCAGCAGACATTATCAACAGTGATGAGGTGATGGATGCAGTGCTATACATACTGTTCAAAAAATAAGGTAGATGTTCAAATTTTCCAGGCTCCGTACATTCGATTAGCGATTTTTATTTATTTTTGATGTTGGTACACTGGATTCGAACATATGTTCACAGTTTCAGCTGTTTAGCATGTTTAGTATGTCGGTGACAGGCAGAAAAGTTAGAAATGTTTTGCGTATTCGGAGACTTTCTTAAAAAAAAAAGTGGATAAAACAAAATCGATTACCGTGCCGTAGTGCATTGAGAGTTCTTGCCAAGTCGTTGTATGGTCAATAAGGAGTATTATCTTGAAGTTATGCTCCCCTTGCGAGAAGCAATACGAAGAAAACGTCCGGTATTGTGGAAAAACAATTCATGGCTTTTGCATTCATAATTTTTTGGCCAAAATAACACCGTAATCATGCTTCAGCCACCGTATTCACCAGATTTGCCCCCCCGCGACTCATTTCTGTTCCCAAGATTGAACAGACCCACGAAAGGGCGGCATTTTGCGATGATTGAGAAGATGAAAACCGAATTGTTGAGAGAGTTCAAGCACATACCAAAAAGTGCATTCGACTTTGTTGAACACAAAAATCTTTACATAAAACTTCATAATATTGGCATACAAGGAAATGCTCATAACTGGCTGAAATCATTTGTCTCAACACGGAAGCAATATTTCAGTATCATCAATGAAAACAGTAATGTGAGAAAGTTATATACATCCAATTATGTGGATATTGATGTTGGTGTCCCGCAGGGATCAGTGTTGGGCCCTATCTTTTTTTTTTGTTATATGTAAATAATATGAAATCCATCTCTACATATGCTCATTTTGCACTATATGCAGATGACACTTCACTGGTTATATCAGATAAAATAGACCAAAATCTACAAACCAAAGAAGTTAAATACCTGGTTCAAGGAAAATTCCCTACATTTGAATGATCAAAAAACACGTTTGATAAGATTCCATGCTAGACAAAAAAAAAATAGCCAGTTTCAACTTGAGAATTGAAGAGGATGAAGTTTCTCCGTGCTCTACGGTGAAGTTTTTAGGTGTACACTTGGATGAATTTCTCAGCTGGAAAACTCATTGTGGAACAGTTATATCAAAATTGAACTCCATGAGAAACCTTGGTAATATTTTAGACCAGAAACGGCTGATTATGCTGTATCAAAGTCAAATCGCGTCTTCGGTATGGTATTACTTTCTGGAGAGCTTCCTCTTCATGCAAAGATGTTTTTGTCGCCCGGAAAAAGATTATAAGATGTATAGCAGGAGTCACAAGCTGTAAAAGCATTTTTAAAATTTTGAAATAGTAACATTGCCATGCCTGGATATATTCGAATTATGTGTTTTTATATATAACCGTAACTGTTTCATAAGAAATGAAAATGTGCATTCTATTGATACCAGGAGCAAGACAGACTTTCATATGCCATATTGTAAAAATGTACTGACTTACAATTCCTCAGATTATTTAATTAACTACCACTTGAACTGAGAAACTAGTACTATCCACAGCTTCAGAATTACACTCAAGTATTTCTTCTAGACTTAGTATTTGAAAAAAAAGCCTTTAAACTCGCAAAGTTTGAGAAACACTACTTACTCTTCTGTTATATGTATTTGTACTAGAAGCAGAATATAGATGATTCTTGAATCGGGGAGAGTTCAATAACTCCCATACAGAAAAAGTTTTTCCATAAACAATCTTAGCCCTCTCCCTTTGTGTGTTACATAGGAACGTTCCAAAAATATTAGAGTAAGTGTGCTGTACTAACTTTACCTGAAAAAAAAAAGTTTGCGTCAATTTCTTCTTCAGTTTCCTTTTATTCATTACACTTACTAAATAAGTTTGAGAAAACTCAAACGCACATGGAAACTGTAAGAGTAATTGATGTACACAATCCAACCATTGCAAAAATACAGGACATCGCTCATTTTGATCATCGCTTCCAGATGAATGACCACATCTGTCAGCAAACTTGTGTCCGAAGGCAAGCCATTCACGTTCAATAAGAATTCGAAAACCCTGAAAAGACACTTATGTACCTACTACAATTTCTTACAGCCCATTTTAATTTCTTCAATATTAGTTACTAAACAGTGAATTTCTTTCAGCGCTCAATTTCATTACAGAAAAAATGTTTTTTCATACTTTCTATTGAGAAACAGTCAAGGATATCTTCATAGTTATGAACAGAAGCAAATTCTTCTCAGGTTAATGTTTGAGTTCCAATTTTTTAATGTACGGATAAAACCTAGTAAAGTACGTACATCAATTGTACGGTAAAATGGGTCCAGTAGTAGTTCTGCAAGAGCGACAATTTGTGGTGTCCGATCCCAACCATCCGAGCAGTGTACGAGAACAGGTCTTGCGTCCCTATCAACCGCAGCAACAAGGGTCACTGCTGCTTTCATCAAACCTGACATGTGAGATAACCAACGAGTACCTTCCAGCAGACTATACCAACTGAAAAATCGTTAAGTAGAACGATACAGTATTTTTCTAATATCTTATTTTTCAAAATTACAATTTTACTTACTTGGCTTGATCAGCGGAAGAGGAACAAAGCAGCCTTAGCGAGTGAAAGCTTTTTCGAATGGAATGTATATTGGCCAAATTCATGAACTCAATCTCACAATTGGGGTAATACTCTGGACACTCGCAACCTCCTCCTCTTGCACGATTTGCTACAGCTGTTGTGTAAGACCTCGCATCCATAATCAGAAACTGAAAAAAAAAAGATTTTGATGTTTTTTTTACACTCTCAAGTGGCATGGACATTTCAGTAGGTCAAAAATCGCAGTTTCAACAAAAAATGAGTTAGAAAACACAAAAAATATTTCAATGGGACATTTTAACACTAAATTGTGACAGTACTAGAGTACGTCCAGTTAGTTCCTCATTAAAAATAACATTCAGATTATGCAATAGAGAAAATAAACCTGAAACTGTGAGTAAAACTTGGAAAAAACCAACAAGACGTGTATAAATGTTCTATTTTATCATACAGTGAAAACGATATGAAACAGGCCGACTTTTTTAGTGATACAAGGTGTTCAAGGAAGATTTCACAAAGATTTTTTGTTCCATGGTACCCCTGAAGGTAAATTATATTGCATAAAAATAATAAACCTTCCAATATTTGAAATTGTGGAACAATTGAAAAAAATAAACAAAGTATCAAACTTAATGATCCAGCACATGGCACTCAATATAAAACCAACCAATTTTATAAAAATTAAATCATTGTATATCTTGAAAAAATTGGATAACAAAACTTCTAGAAACATTTTTGATAATCTTCTGAATAATGAAATGTTCAAACAAATTATAGAATAACTGTGAGAATTCCTGGTTAACTAATGTTTATAAATAAAAGCTTGAGTTAAGCTTACAAGTTCTCTTCATAAGGTTCATACCTTAGTTTATTCATAATAAGGTTAGTATTCTAAAATATTACTGCATTTATCCATGAATGAACTTACATTATTATATGGTCAATTTGGCGATTCCACGTATAAAGAATGGTGTATAAATGGCAGAAACCATGGAAATGGTGTATTAGAAACCGAGTGGATTTTGTCAAAAGAAAACTGGGAGTAATGGAAAATTATATTATTTGTTCAACTTCTCTCATATTTCACGTTTCAAGGAAGAATGAGTTTCTGCAGTTGGTTTCTCTAGTTTTTACTGAAAAATTTGGTGTTTGACTTCTTGAACGCCACAACAATTAATGATAATGATGATAATAATGGTAATAATGATGATAATAACCATAAGAATAATCGTCTTCATTTACCTCATAAGATATACAAGTTTATGAAAAAAAGAAATAGAAAAAAAGGGTGATGTTCATTTCGTTCAGAGACAAGACTTCCACCAACATATTCTTCCACTCAACTCCAAATATCAGTACTAACCTAATCAACCTTATCAACATATTAGGATCCTCAGATACCCATTCAGGAATGAATGTTGAAAGTTAGAGAGAAGATAAAAAAAAGCAACAAAAGATAAAAAGAAGATAAAAAAAAATTAGGATTGGCCAAAAATATATTTCTTGTATTTTAATTTGTGATTTGTTAATGATAGCAAGAGCCACAAGTCAACTTATATATAGATCAGAAGTATGTAAGCTGACTTGAGCTCTTGCCTAAAACTTTACATTGGCCAAACGGGAAGAACTGTTTTTGAAAGAATGAAAGAACATAGTAGTAGTTTCTTGAATGTGAAGACCAATCCCACCTCACAGAGAAGCGGGAGTTCAACCACGACTATAAAGTATTACATTTGAAAGAGCAAAGTTTGAATTCAATTTTTGGCATGCTTAGGAATCAATTAATTTAAGACTTGGTAAAATTTACAGATTGGTATCTCCCTCTCTGNCCTTATGTAATAATCAGTAAACCCAACAATATTATTTGAAATTTAATTTTTGGAATGTTTAGAAATGAATAGATTCAACAATTCGGGTCATTTATTGAATGACCAAATAGAATCAAATAACTCCCCTTAACTGAATATTTTTTCAAATGTGGAAACTGGTAATTAACTGATACATAAATTCAGGCAATTTAATTCATAACATGTTCATTTGAATGAGTTTTCACCATTTCTTTTCTCATTTTAAAGTTAACTAATGAACGAAGCATTGAATATGTAGATTTTAGTTAGTATACACACACCTGAAGAAGATATTATTTAGCGAAACACGTTTTGTTTAGTGAAAATCTCACAATAAAGTGTTTCTTGAATATGTAATCGATTATCATCAACTATCGGCCAATTCCATCAAATAGATTATGAAACAATGTTGATTAACTGTGGACTATATTGTTATCTCAACACTTGAAGTATCACTTAGTGGGAGAGGTCATGTCCAGACAGTTATTCAATAAGATAATTGAATTGTTTACTTTGTCATTCAAACGATAAGCTAATAGTTGTATAATGAATAATCAACATTTTGTTCCTTCTCTCTTGAACCCACTGTTGAATTATTCACTTGTCAACTTTTTTTCCGATATTTATCGGTTACTTTAAGTATATTTGCTTTCAGCAGACATACACAAATATTAGTTTTTAAAAACAATAGAACTTTGATTATATTAATCAATACTTTGATGGTATGTTATTTGTATAAAGGTTTTCAAATCATTGTTGTGCATATTAACAAAAGAAAATTAAGGAGGGCGCAAGTCCAAAAAAACAATCAGTTTTTATTCAGGACTGTTTTTCTCTTAAATTGATAAAAACCGACATGGGGCAATCAATTTCATAAAACATAGTGCGGCAGAGCAAGATATCCAAAGCCAGACAAAATTTGTAAGAAGAGGAATCATCATTAGTACTTTTTGATACAGAAGCCAATGATGTGACATAACTCGACGCAGAAAGGGCGCTATCCCTTTTTTTCAAATAGGAAGCAAGGTCTTATGACTCATCATTCGAAATGTTTTCCAATTATCTATACAGCGAACTCAATTATTTTTGAATTTGAATAACCAGTTTGCTGAAGTTATTGATGTAAGAATTGGAGACTAGGAAATTATAATTCGTAACTTTGCAACCAAAAGATGATTAATACACTCCAAAGTTAGTTATTACAGGTTACACAGAGTTTGTAATGTGTAAGAGAAAGAAATTATTTTTTATACCACTTGTATACATACAAGCAAGTTTCATTTCCCATTTTTCATAATAAAATTGTGTTTTGACAAAAAAGCACATTTCTGTCGTTAATCTGATATAGGATTTTTTTGTGATTGAATACATAGATGAGAATCCAAACCGTGCTATCCTAATAACAGAGAGTATTGTGTTGTGTTTGACAGCTGTCACTATTAATACTGAGAATCCGCCTAATTTCTTTTTTTTCAATTCTAGAAAATGGTTCGCGTCAGATCTTTAGGGGAAAAAAGGTAATCCTTATTTACACCGAGGCCTACTGTAATTTTCATAAGACAGATCAAGTGTCCAAGGCACGATTTTTTGATAATCCAATCTGTCGAAAATATCTCGGGAAAATGGTTGAAAAATTTCAAATAAAACTGGAAGTGTAGCTAGAGTTAGAAGAGCTGGAAGAAAATCTATCTAAGACGAGAAACAGATAGAAATCGTTGCATATGTAGTGAATAATCTCCAGCAGTGCTTGTGAGAAAGATGTCCTAACAACCACCGTCAACGAATATCTTAGAAGTTTCACCTCTATAAAATAAAAATATTACACGAATTAAATGAAGATGCAGTTTTGTGAGTTAATGTCCGAATGTTTGAGTGCAAATTGAAACTGCATGAAACGCATTTGTTTTGATGAGAAATGCACTTTTTTTTCAACGGAAATGTCAACAGCCAAAATGTGCAATATTTGTCATAAACCCACATACTTTTTGAGGAGGTCACACTCAAACGTCTGTGAAAATAAAGGTCAAGTCAGAAATATTGGAAAATCATATTGTTGGTCTCATATTATATCTAGAGAAAAATTCTTCCAAACCTTATTCACCCACAGATTGAAGAAATTGGAGCAAACGATTAAAGTATTATAAATTTTAAATTTTTTAATGCTTGGCAGGTATTAGTTGAATCAGACATGCCCAGGCATGTTGATTGGTAGAAAAAGTCTATTGGAATGGCCTGTTTGTTCATCGGATTTGACTCCTCTAGATGTTTTTCTTCAGAGTCATATCAAATCCAATGTTTGTGTTACGCAATCTGGGATAATACAGGAACTTGGAGACAGAGTTACTGAAACTTGTGCTAGGCAACAGACTTTGATGCGGGTTTTTTAAAATAGATGGAGTGATTCAAAAGGAAGGTTTATATGTATATAACATGCATAATATAGTAGAGAAACACTGATAATTTTAGAGGTTTCTAATGTGATGTCATAAATAAACACATTTTTGCGGTTACATTGCAAACGCTGGCGGAACCCTACGAGAAATAATGTACTACACTAGTGCACACCTTAAAAACATCTACAAAAAAGTCCGCGTATGGTATATGTCTACCTCTTAGGGATAACCCATAATAACAATTTTTTATCCTCGAGAAATAATGGCTTATTTACGAAGCGATTTTAGGCAATACAGCATTAATCCTAATCAAATTGGGCATTTAATATATATGGCCCTTCACAGCATGTAATTTAAATGAATATTTTCGAAGATATTACAGATTCAGTAACTTTCAGACACAAACTGAAAGAAAGTCCTCCTGAAACAGCTACTTTCATATAAACATTGAATTACACAAAAGAAAAAAATTCTTTCGAAACAAATAATTCTATATTAACACTGAATTATACAGAAGATACTTTTCTTTATTCAGTTTGTATTTCAAACATTCGTTGTGGAATAAAATCAGATATCATTCACATGAGTTTTACTTCAAATGAATGGTAACAAATTGCACTTACATGGAACACTGTCATCCTCACTGGTATACATCGATGTTTCACCGTAAGACACTTGCCCTAAGGCTCTTCAGAACCAAATTGGATAACATTATAGAAAATACACACGATTCATGAATTGATTCATGTCACGGAATAAGCTTGATCTGCTTATCTCATCAATGACATCGTAATGACATTCATTCACCTATTTGATTTAATCCCAGCCAAGATGAATCTTATTTGAATTAAAGGGGTTATATTTTTAGGAGTGATTAATTTTTGGAGTAGTAGAAAGCCAAAAACTTTCTTTCCCAAAAATTAATCACTCCTAAAAATATAACCCCTTCAGTTCAATTAACACTTACCTATTGCAAAAGAGGTTACTAATTTATTTCTCTTGTATAGAGAAATGAAATTTATTTCATAAGTAATGTCACGAGACACGCTTATCATTAAAAAAAAAGTAAATAGTGCTTTCTCGGCGGCAGGTGATGTAACACCATTGGCTTTTTTTATCAAAAAGTACTAAAAAGGATTCCTTTTTGCAAAATTTTTGTCCAACTCAGATATTTTGCCCAGTTTGAAAGCTAAGAGGAGGAGGAGTATTTAAGTCCGCACTTTATATGACACTTCAAAAACTCTGATATGCTTAATCTATGAAACTGCTTGAACTAAAAAATACTTCTGCTGCCCACTATAACTAGGAACTAGTGCTATACTTTGGAACTAGTACTACACTTTGGAACTAGTGCTATACTTTGGAACTGTTGCTGTACCTTTTTGTCCTGGACAGGAATATTTGTGGTAATCTGCAATGATTCGTCTGACTGATATGACCCAGGAGAATGAGATAAATTTGATTCTTTATCTAAAGTTTTCACAGACTGATCAAAGTTGCAGGCATCCGATATAGCCTTGATGAGATCTTCATCTTCATCCGATCTCCAACCCAACCAACCTACTTCAGGTTGACTGGAACGAACAATAACTGCACCATTACCTGAATGCCTAAAAATAAGGAAGCGATACATATCAAATTTGATGGTTCCTAAAATATTCATGTATAAATTTATTTGGGTTGCAACGAAAAAAAGACACACTCAATGTTGTACAGGAAGACTGCTACCACATGGACTGAAAAATCATGGGCGTAAGAAAGAAAACGCGTTTTTTTTTTGTTCGAAATTGGCTTTATTCATCAACGTAATCTCCAACAACAGCCACACAATCATTTCAGTGCCGCCTCTAACATTTCAATACCACTTTTGTAGAACGATTTATTTTTTGCCCCAAAATAAGCCTCAGTTTCAGCAATAGTCTCCTCATTCGAGTGAAATTTCTTACTGGTGAACATTTTTTTGAGGTCTACAAACATCCAGTGGTCGCTAGAAGCCAAATCTGGAGAATACGGTGGATGTGGGATTATTATTATGTTGTTCCATCGTAGTGTGCGCTGGTCAGGCCCTATCCCTGAAGCCCCGATACATTCGGGAGGGCGCGCCAGCATTAGCAACCAATGACCACTCCCCACACCATGGGGTAAGTGATAATTAGGTCCGAAAATCATGTGCTCTGAGCAAGCGGCTGTGCGGCTAACATTTCTGCCTTAGCGCGGCAAGCCGGTATGATTTTTAAGAATCGAGAGTAGAGAAGGCTTCATTCCACCAAGGACTCCAATAATCAGAACAACCATCTTGACAGAGTGATTTGGATAGAGTCTGCGGAGTTCGAAGATGAAATGGACCATTGCACATTTGTCTATCCCTAATTTCATACCAATATCATGCGTGTTCTCTTTCACCACCCTCGAAGACTGATGGAGATCCTTCTCTCCAGAGGCATAAAGTTTAAGATCATCCATATAAAACAAATGGATGACCTTGTGCCTCCGGTTTCCGGGGGTGCCACAGTTATACCCTCGAGTATTTCTGAGCGCAATGGATAATGGGAATAGTGAGATGCAGAAGAGAAGGGGACTGAGGGAATCACCCTGAAATACAACCCTTCTGAAAGTGACCCACCCTGTTTGGACTCTGGCTCGACCAGATGTTATGGTGAAGCAAGTTCGCCAGAGTTCAATGCATCTTACTATTTTGTCGGGTACAGCAAGACATCTGAGCAAATGCAAGTTCATGTGATATTGTATCAAATGCCTTACGGTATTATTATTATTAGGTGCATTGTCTTGATGAAACAATTTTTATTTTTTTTTTCTTTGTTTTTTTGCAATTTCGGTTCCAATTCGCTCTAATAACGCTATATAATATTCACTGTTGATGGTATTTCCCTCCTCAAGATAGTTGATGAATATTACATCACACACTTCTCAAAATACCGGTGCCATAACCTTTCCAGCCGATTGTTAGGTTCAGCAGTTGCTCTCCACTCAGATGACGATCGTTTTGATTCCGTAATGAAGTGATGGATCCATGTTTCATCCATTGTCACATATTGACGCAAAAATTCCAGTTTGCTATGTTTAAACATGACTAAACACTGTACAATATCATCAAGACGTTCTTGTTTTTTGTCAACAGTAAGCTCGTGCGGCACCCACTTTGAACAAAGCTTTCTTATAGTTAAATGCTCATGCAATATAAACCCAACACGTTCTTTTGATATCTTCACAATGTCAGCTAACTCACGCGACTTCACTTTTTCATCATTCAAGATGATTATGTGGATTTTTTTTATTGTTTTCTGGTGTTACTGCCTCATTTGGACGTCCACTGCGTTCTTTAGCATCAGTTTCTCCACGACCTCGTGTGGAGTCCTTATAACACTTTTCAAGCCATTGCTTCGCTTGAACGGTATTTTTTTCCCATCAAGAAGCAGTGTAAAATTAAAACACGAAATTATTTTTGATCCATTGTTTTGAAAATAGCAAAAGTAGTGCCACTTTTAGCATAATAAATCACGAACTTATGAGTAGAATATCATAAAATTTCAACAGCTTTCTTTTGAAGGTTGGTACTAACTGTAAAAGCGGTGAATGCAATAAGACTAGCGCCATCTATGTGTTAGGCCAGAGACTATTCAGGCCAGGTAGTATAAATTAAATGATTTACTCAATAAATAATGCGAAGGGTCAGCAATATTTTAAATCGATGAATATTTAATGGTATATTTATTACCTCCAAACTACAGCTGGTATTCTTCTGGAGCTACGAAACTTGGCAACACTTTCCAGCATGTCGTCATTGATACAAGACGGTACAAGCAGATATGGAGGGTACGTAGGACAAAATGTGTAGTTCTCATTTACTTTTGAGATTCTCCAAGAATGACCTAGGAACTGGAGTCTTGACATCTGAAAATCAGATTGATTCATTTTTTTAAAGCTGTAATTTTTTTTAAATGAAATTCTTTGGTTCGTAAAGTTCAATTTTGTTATGGAAAGTAAAACTGGTTTGAAAAACCAGTTTTCAGATATCACTTGGTCACTTAAACTTTTTCAATTTGAAAAAGTTTAAAAACGATATAAATATAAAATTCTACCTCATTTTCAAACAAAATCCGATCAAAAGTGTATCGTCTTTGGTTCTCTAGTCGCATCACTACCTCTTCTGGGGATTTTTCTTTTGACCAGATACAATGATAAAAAGCAAACAACTGTTCCACTTGTTTAGGTGCCTGAGCTGCTTTCAATATTCGCTCATACCAGACTTGACACTTTTCGTTATTTTCAAAAGTACATCTGCAAAAAAAAATCAAGCATTTTTCCTAACAGAATTGGAAAATTCAGAGACCAAACGTATATTGCCTTATCACAAGTTTTTTCAAACTAAGAAAAAATATTTTTTAACAAACATTTGCTTTAACAATTACATACTGTCATTTGTAACACCATTTGTTGATCACATTATTTTTCATTTTGTAGCGCTTTTTCGAAAAGCCACTTTTTATTTTTGGTAACAGAAAGTAAGTTATAATAACTGAGCATTCATGTTATTTGCAGTTACAAAAAAATTTCAAATATGTGGTATTTATTAAAATAAATGTTAAAAATGGCCTCCACACTCGGCACCGTTTAAAGAGGAAAACCGAATTTTATGGAGGATCATAGGCTTTTGATGGAATAGATTTGCACTTTCAATAATTCGATGTCACAGTTGTTGTTCGCCTATTATTTCAACAGTATACATGTTCTCTTTCATAAAATTCCAGAAGCAAAAGTCAATAGGGTTAAGATCTGGACTACCGGTTGGCCTCTTTCAATCCAACGTCCATAGTACAAAATGAAAAGATATTGCACAATTTCGTTATACAAATGCGCTGGAGCTATATTTTTACCTCTTCCAAGTATTCTGTGAATAATTTGCACCCTTTAAATTATTCAACAAGATTGTAGTACGCTTTTGTTGCAAGGGCATCTTTTCCTTCCTAATTTCGTAAGCTATATGAATATACATATTTTTACTTTCATAAATTAAATACTTTGACTTGGTTTTGGAACAGGAAGTTGTATTTTATTTTCTGTTACTTGCCGGGTTATGTAATTTATATGTTCCGGAGTTCCAACCATATTATATTTTTTGTAAATCAGACAAAGTTTCCAGTATGAAAATACAAGTAACAGTTTGCATAAGTATCTAACCGCAAAACAAACACCGAATAAAAAAGTTGTTGACTGCAAAATCTCTAGAAATCAACACCATATCTAAGGTGGGACTCAATCAGGGAATGATATACTATTTTCATTGTAGATGAACTCAGTTCATTTGAAACTATTCGAAGTGCATAATATCCTGATGCCAATTTTTTATTCAAAGCTGAAATATGTTGATCAAATTTTTATTTGTAATATGTTATTTGTTATGTAGTCCATTCAAGTATAAATTGTTAATATTACAGCTGAAGGTGAGTAGGTTTGTTTTTTTAATATTAAAGCACAAGTAGTTTGCGTCACACCATTTTTTCACAACTTCTAAATCACTAGATATATTTTCTTTCATATTAATCAGAAGTATTTTTTCCATGCCAAAGGAGCGTGCTGTAATCCGCAGAAATCGTAAAAATTCCTTGAATTGGGAGAGTAACAAGGTCGTTTACATATATAAGGAAAAGAATCGGGCCCAGTACTGATCCTTGTGGAATGCCCCATATGATATCCTTGAGAGCATGGAGATAGGTCTAAAGTTATTTGGATCTTCTGAATTACCCCCTTTGAAAATAGGAATTACAAGAGCTGGAGGGAAATTTACAAGGGAAAAGGATTTATTTATAGCCATCACTAGTGTTTTCAAAGCGGGATCGGGAGGTTATTTAAAATGTTTACTGAAATTTCGTATTGAACTAATGGTGTCACAATAATAATTCAATTGTAACGCATAGAAAAGTTTGGGGGATTTAAGAGGTTCAATACCCCCTTAAAATTTTTGTGGGCTGAACAGACTTTCTGGTTTTATATGAAAAATATGATCTCACTGTAAGAAAGCCATTGATCTATTTTCATCACAAAATGTTAAACAATTTATGAAATATTGGAAAAAATAATCGATTTTCATTTTGTACTTTCCAAGGACTATAACTTTTTTTGTGCACATTCGCATAAAGGTAAGTTATATCCATCCAATCGAGTTATTTTGACTGGCGAATACACGGTTCAATTTATGACCTACTTTTTTTGTAACACCCTGTATATTACGGCACAAAATATGGTAACAAATGTAAAAAATAACAATAATCTAGTAAAAAGATTTCGTCTCAATATCATGAAGAATGTAAACAACTATGGACTTTGATCATAAACATTATGCTTGATGAGGTTTGAACATTCATCTGCTATCTTTGTGACGTAGCTTTCTTTATCAAAATTGACGGAAACAATGATGATTAATAGACTACTGTATCCATAGTAATTAAAGTGAATTGAATTTTGACTATTTATTGATCAAACTGCAGTCACCTGAATTTCCTACATAACCTTCGTTTCATAGCAGACAACACCTGAAAAGTTCAAGCAAGTCCAAGAGAAGATTTTTTTTATTTGATGTTTTGATAGATATTCAAGTTTTTTTATAACATGGGTTTTTATATAAATGTGGAAAACCTGCTTTCAATTGAAAAATAAGGGTCTAGTGAAAAATTTATCAGGCTGCAATTTTAATAGCAGCAGAAATCTAATAGTCTGGAATTGTTACAATGCAGGGTTGACAAAGTATTATCTTTTTCTATGAGTAAATCAAAACACATTGAGAAAAATAGTCGGAAGAAAAGCTGATTTTTTTTCCTGTGTACGAAACATTATATCTAGTGAGTGTTCTTTAATATCCACATGGCATAATAACCGGGGTATCACCTACATGCAGCAGAATAATTAATGCATTCCTCTCTATTTCATTACTAATCTAAAACTTTCTCCACTGCTTCTTCCTCAGTAAAGAAAACAATGAACTTGTATGACCTTCAAACTGTAAGAAAAGTTACCAACTAATTTATTCGAAATGGAACAATAAAGTATCTATATACATTTAAAAAATAATCAATTAAAAAAATGGATAACATATGAACTGAATTCTATATTTGATCAGAAATACCATACGAATTACAATGTATCCATTCATAGATGGCTGCAAAATCAAATAAATGTATCATATCATCCTTTGCAAATGAAATATGAATTTGAAAATAAACTCCACTATTGCATGAACAGAAATGAAGCATATACTATGACTTTCTTTTGGATTATTTGTTTTAATGGTCTGAAATCTCGTAAATAATATTGTAATAAATGATCAATTGAAATCGTGATTTTTCACATAATAGAGCAGGGGAAACTGGCGTTGAAATAGAGAAATTTCTTCTTCTCAAACAACTCAGATTGCATATTATTCATCTTTAAGAGATGGTAGATGGCCATATTTACTTACGATTCTGGGGAATTATTGTATCCTTTCTTGGTACGAAATGTTTCTCTACCGGCCATAGAAGTATCATACAATATCTGTACTGATTATTAACTTGAAAATTTAATAATAATAATAATTAATTTTTATTGCAATACGATAAACAGTGGATATAGCAAAAGTCGAACTTTCGAGAAGTTAATTCTCATTTACCCTAAAAAAGTACTGATTTTACCAATGGTTAAATTTTCAAATTAAAATACATTGACGTTTCGTCATCGACAAGTTACAGTTGAAAATTATATTCAGTCTTTTTTTTTTCAAAAATACTCATGATAAACAGCATTTCCATATCTATTTTTATTGAAAATGTATGTGACAAATTTCAACTTAGCCAGCAGTTGAACGAATAGTAGCATTTATGACTCAAGTAAGAAATGACTGAACTTCTGAACTTCTTGAACACTGTGATATTTTTGAGTTCCTACGGTAGAGAACTATATGATTTTATTGCCTGATAGTGAGCTCCTTTCTCATAATATGTAGAGTTATAGCTGGAAATAGCCAGTTCATTACAATGTTTAAATGTTTTTGTTTGAAATATGTTCTTTCCGTTAACCAGCTATCGCACCCCTACGAATGACAACCCTCTGAAGTTGAAACTTATGCGAGCTAAGGACTAACCAGGTCTCACCTTTTAACGTGTGATTCCTAACACAGGTTGGACGATAGCAAGTGAAAATCGATCGTTCAGCCTGGGGCTTGAACCACCGACCAACACAGTGGTCGATTCGAGTCGAACCGCCTGGCTACCATATTATTTGAATATTGACCACTATTTCTGGGAAACAGGTTAGAAAATTTTTTTACAAAGCAGACAAGACTCAAGAAGTACAACAAAGACACTGTCAAAACGTCCAGTTTACAAAAGAACTCTTTACAAGAGTTTCTTCGATCTAGATATGTTCTTAGGCTACAAACAGGGCCCCTCAAGTATCGTATCACACCACAAATAGGAATTAATCTGTTATTTAATAAGTTTATATGGGGTTGACAGCTTAGGGTTCTGTTTGTAGTGTTTTTTATTTTTACATTTATACAAAAATTACTCAATCATAGTTTTAGCCATGTACAAGATTACATTTTAACAAACATACTGTTTGTGTATGTGCTCATTTGGGTACAGTGCCTTCATTTCAAATCAAAATTTTCCACCCCTAGTTATTCTTTTAGCAGGGAGAATTTGCCTTAGACAAAAAAAACGTCAATTTAGATATCTAGAAGGAAATTTAAAACCAGTGCCTGTGGTATTTTAGGTTTAACCTCCTTACCCCTAGCTACCCCCACTTAATAATTTTAAATGGCACCCCCTATCTTGTAACACATCATTTCAAAAATCTTAAAAATCCTCACTCAACCCCGTTTACAAAAGTGAAATTGGTTGATCCGTTCTTGTAAAATAGGGCAAAAAGAAAATGAATTATAACAAAATGCAAAAATGTATGGAACCGCTACCACTGACTCAATAACGGTATGTTTATGTCTCTTTTTTACACAGAGTTTTTTGCTTTAGCTGAAAGTGAGATAAGGGCACACAGTTGCTTCTTGGTGTCAGTTACAATTAAATGTTGAAAACATTTATCAGAATTAGTTATTCCTGATTTCAAACTGTTTGTCAAGTGGTGTCAGTTGCACTAGCAGTAATACAAATCGTAATGGTGTACACTTTACAAGAAAGAACTGAAATTATTTTTATTTATGGTGCTGAAAATAGGTGTGCTCGTAGGACAGCACGGGTTTTTAATGAAATACATGCAGGCCAAAATGTGAGTCACCGATATGTTCTAGACCTTGTTCAAAATTTTGAAAAGACCGGTTCTGTGTGCAATAAAGCAGTAAAGCAGCCGAGAGTTCTTACGGAAGCCGCATAGATTGAGATTTTAGGCCAATTCGCCGTTGATCTTACTACTTCAATTTCGAAAATCGCAAAGTTAGTAAATATTTCAGTTGGTTCTATACACAAAGTTTTAAATCTAAACAAGTTCTTTCCTTACAAAATGAGTATTTTGTGAAATAATGACTGCGAGAATTCAAAATGACCCGAATTTAATAAAAAATATTTGCTTCAGTGATGAATCAACTTTTTTTCTTAATGGCCTTGTAAATAAGCATAACTGTAGATACTGTAAAAATGAAAATCCAAACTTGTTTCGAGTGTTTCGCAACATCCACAAAAAATAAACGTGTGGGCTGGAATTCTGGGAAACGAAATAATTGTCCCTATTTTTATTGAAGAAAATTTAACTGGTCAATTGTATTTGAATTTATTGGAAAATGTAATCGATCCACTCATAACACATTCCATAGAACGTCAAGTTAATGAAGAAGACAACCCGCTCTTGGATGAACAAAATTTTCAACAGGACGGCGCACCGCCACACTACGAATTGCATGTCCGACAGTGGCTTGATCAACGGTATCCTGACAAATGGATTAGCAGTAGAGGCGCTCTGGAATGGCCGGCGAGATCTCCGGATTTAGCGCCATTGGATTTCTTTCTCTGGGGTTATTTGAAAACAATGGTATACAAAACTCCCCCGCAGAACATTCAGGATCTAAGACACAGGATTACTGACACATGTAGACAAATTAATAATGAAACATTTACAAAAGTCCGACAGGAATTCAGAATAGATTGTACTTTTGCTTAGCTACCAATGGTGAAAATTTTGAACACCTAATAAAGTAAGGTGTATTTATTTGATTGCAATAGCTATTATTTTATTTTTTGACTAATTTTCTTTTTGCCCTATTTTACAATAACGGATCAACCAATTTCAGTTTTCTAAACGGGGTTGAGTGAGGATTTTTAAGATTTTTAAAATGATGTGTTACAAGATAGAGGATGCAATTTAAAATTATTAAGTGGGGGTAGCTAGGGGTAAGGGAGTTCAACCTAAAATACCACTGGCACTGGTTTTAAACTTCCCCCTCGATATCTAAATTGACGTGTTTTTTGCCTATGGTAAATTCTCCCTGCTAAACTAGGGGTGGGAAATGAAGTTTTGAAATGAAGGCACTGTATATTTGTACATTTATATATTTATTTAACAATTTATTGATCGATTTGATGGGTATGACCCAATTAGTTCCTAACCCATACACCATACTTTTCCAGCTTATTTAGGAGCTTTTTGTGGTTAAACATGTTAAAGGCCTTTAAGAGATCAAAGTACAAGCCTACTAAGGATTTTTGCTATCAACATTCTCTGTTATTTATTTAACTTAATTTATTTAATTTGTTTCACAAATTCTTATATTATATTTATACAAAGTGTTCCAAAGTTTATTAAAAGTTAGAATCACATCACAAACACGCTGAGGTCCTTTTTTTATTAATCAGCGTTACATGAGAGAGCATTGACTTGAAGGTAACGGATTTGGAGGGATTGTGATGAAATTATTAGTAAATATTAGTGACAGAGGGACATTCTGTCAGAATTTTTTTCGAATCGCATTCATCATTCAACTCAAAAAGATGCATAGTTATGCAGATTCCAAAAATGTTTGATTCTTTTAACTGAGTAACATCGGTTTAGATAAATACATACCTTGAAACAAAACAACTCATTTATGTATGTATGCATAAAAAAAGAGGCTTAAAAATATACATGCAAATATCCTTATTGAAGCTGAAAATCTGTTATTTCACATTTTATATGGATTTTATTAAAAACTTTTTTTTTTATTTATTTTCGCTTCCACTGATATTTTGGCTACAAGATGAAAACGGGCAATAAAAAATGGCTGCTGACTTCATTCACATCAATTCAATCATTAAGAGTCCCCTAAATGTTTGATCATTTGGCCAAGAAACGAATAATGCGATTTTATATAATACCGTCACTTAATATAATAAATATACTAGAGGTTTGATAAAATATTGGAAAAAGTTTACACTAGCAACCTTAATGAAACTTACATCATTTGTGAGAAAAATCTTTGAAAAGTGAATTTTTTTCAGTAAAATGAATAAATTATCACTTTATTTTAAATTTCGCATCCATTATTCAATAATGGATAATCAAAATGTCCAAAGTAGATTTTTCTCAACAAGTCAGCTTTGTAAGATTGGTATTTCCCCCCAGTGGGTATATATTATATTACATGAAATTTAGATGTAGATATGTCATTTTAGAAATCCCAAAAAAACTATCACAAAAAAACTCTGTTTTTATTCTTACCTGTACGTTCTAGCATCCTTACACCCTATATGCAGGTTGAAAAGCTCTTTCACCTCAGCAATCTCAATTAGCCCAATGGGAATATGAAAAGGTTGATTTCTGGATTGCAGATAAAAGCGATAGTTGGTGATGAGAATGAGTCCATCGACAGATATTCCAGAGTGCAAGACGTGTTCCCCATTCAAAAAATTGAATGGAAGATCTTTAAGATTAGTCGATTGTAAGGGGTACATATGAATTGACTGGATGTGACATATAGAATTTGGCTGCTCTGAAATATCCATTTTTTTCTGGAAAAGAGATTCCCTGACTTCAGCTGAAAACAATACTGAAAAATATTGGGTTTCGATATCACAGTAAGTATAAAGATGGAAAAATATCGACCTATTTTAGCCTTTCTTCCTGAATTCCTTAGATATGCTGTTATTGAAGTGTTTAAGGTTAGCCTGTGGCCCCCAACAAGAGTGCCAAAAACCAATAGATTTAGAATTTCCTGATCTCCAGCAACAATATATCAGTACTATCAACTTCTTCACCACTATTCAAAAAAAAAAACTTTTCAAGTCGATTGTCATTGGTGACGAAACTAAACCGTTTCACTTTACACTTTGTCCTGTTTGATCAGGGTTATCTATTTGAAAGGGGGATTGTTAGCAGTTGATACCTGCTAGAACCGCAATTAAAACTAAAATATACTGTGAAAGATTTCTGGATTTATCTCCAACAATTTGAAATGTGGCGTCCAACACTTTCTTGAAGATATGATGGCTAGAAGGTATGACATCTGCATATAAAGCTATCAGTAATTAAGCAGAAAAATAAATAAAGATTCAGTTTTGAACGATGTTACATTTCTATATAGATACTGTTGCATAGAAAAGAAATTCAGTTTTAAAATACTACTATTGATTTTTTCAACACTTGCAAACTTTTGGAGCAATTAATAAGCAGTCAACATAGTAGAGGGTAAAGCTACTTTGTAGTAATATTTCTTTATGGCCAGTCCAACTAAATCAGTCTGTCTAACAAGGAAAACTGTGTACACATGACTTGAGAAAACACTGGTTATTTAGTGAATATAAAGTTATGTTTGGCATTCCAACAACACCCTCTTCAAATTCAAATTCTTCAGAAACGTTTTGTACATAATATGCATCTTCAGGTTATGAGATGAAAAAGCATTTTATTTGAAAAATTGTGTTTTTTGTTGTTTGATGGGTCATGGTTACATCCACTCAGATAACCTTCAATTGTATATTTGGGCGTCTCCAACTTCCAACTGCCCTTGTGACAGGACATAGAGCCTGCTTTTCCAAAGATGCCAGATGTCTTGATTTATATATTTTGTAGCAATATTATTATTGTAATAATCATAAATAACTTCTAAACAATGTTGACATTGACACATAATCATTGATCTGCCTTTAAATTAAATGAATCGCTCAGAAAAAGTTTTGTCTGAATGTGAAGTATGATGACCTCAAAAAATTGTACCTTGCCGTATGGTGCTAAAAGTTAAGGTAAATAATTACCTGATTAACTTCACCAATAGTATTTGAACTTATAATCTGGGATCTTATGAAAACACCATTTTTATCACAAAAGATATTTATAATTAATAAACAATCACGTCTCACGTCACAAGCAATCGGCAACACAAATGACAGAAATGTCAGATACGTTGTCAAAATTCGGATTTTACAATTTGACAATAGACGCACTCAAGGACTTTAAAATAATGCAGACCATACACATAGACATTGTTCTGTCACGTACTTAGCTACCTAGCGGAGAAATTTAAAACTATCGGACCATCACTTTTTGTCAAAAAAGTACAAATCTCATAGTAATTTATTACTCAGAGAAAGAAATATGCAATATTTTATTTTGACGTTATATTTGACGGCGGTCAAAGAATTGAATCTAAACAAACCATCATCTTATGGAGTTTTGTATTGCGGGTTTTTCGATCTGGCAATTTTAATGGCAGTCGTCGTTGATCGAATGTATATTTGGGCCTGAAAAAAATTATTTCGTCTTTAGCATCAAACTTAAGCAAAATATGACATAATAATAATGTTGATCCATACATTTTTGTACTTGTATGTTTTAGAAATTAGATCAGCTCAGTGTTTAGTTTCGAAAAAAAAATGCGCTTGAAGTATTTTTTCCTGCAGTTTTGCAAAACATAGCTTTTTCTTGAAAATACCTCGAAAACTCTTACCCTTGATGAATACACAAAAGAATGCGAAGAATAAAATTACTCTGAATACAATAATGAGAACCGTCCAAGACGGTGGGTTCGAAGGGAAAAAATTCAAAACGGCCTATACCAATTTCAAAGAGTTAAAACTCGACAAAGGTTAGAAACAGTTTGGTGTGTTTGGAAAAATATGTTGAAGGACACGACCATGCAATAAGAAATGAACAGACTAGTCATTACCAAAAACAAAGAATCAAATAATTAATGGTATAAAATATTTTCAAAAACAAACTTATATTTACCTACATGCTTTGAATCAAACCAATAAATTCATTACTTTACATTAAGTGATACAAACTGAACATGCTGAACATCTGAAACTGTGAACATTATGTTCGACACGAGTGTACCAACATAAATATTCAAATCGAACCAAAGCGCTGACGAAACAGAACAAAAAAATTAACCAGGCATTTCGCCATTATAATGTTAACGAACGCACTGCTCGATGTTGGTTAGCGCAATTTAGTTCCGGAGATTTTAGCTTCGAAAATGAGCCCCGAAGTGGTCGACCGACAGTCATCCAAAATGATGTTACGGGATCAAAAACTCACAACAAACTTTTACATTAGTTGTAGCAGAATCACCCTGTATTTCGAAGAGGTAACGCTGATTCATTTTGTTTCAATTATCACAAATTCATAGACAACCAACTTCTCTTTGAGATCATTGCTGAATGGGTCGTATATCTAAAAGGCGCTTTATCGCCCTGAATGGGGCGATGAGATAATAAAGTATATTGATTGATTGGATCGTATATCTAAAAGGCGCTTTATGGCCCTTAGTCGATTTAATAATCCCATTCGTTTGAACAGTATATTACCCGAATTTCATATGAAGTGGTTTTCAAAAAGTTTTTCTATACAAATGATTTTTGAAGTGAGGAGTTGACGAGCAATTGTGAAAGAATTCGACTGATGTACATATAGGTTAATGCTGTGAAGAAAAAAGATATTTTGTTTATTTGCCCAGTGGGATACTAGCTCATCCAGTATTGATGCATTTGACTAGAAATCCAAAATACGTGTTTCATGATTTTTTTTTTTTTGGTTTGGGAAAACTGTAAACGGCATTTGTGTTCGATTGATCATGTGGAAGGTCTTTTACATAAAACGTACACAACATCACAAGGCTTTTTATCTCTACCACAAATGAAAGGTAAAATAATTTAGGCTGGATACCTGTGTATCCTGGTACTTATCAAAAGGAATTGATAACACAAAGATAAGTTTCATGTTTGTATCGTCCCCAACATCAATATCCAGGTTTAAATCTGTTTAAAATCTGTTTTCCGTTAATCAGCTGCCGCCCCCATACGAACGACAACTCTCAGAAGTTGAGAAACTTGTGCGAGCTGAGGACTAACGAGGTCTTACCTTTTAACGTGTGATTCCTAACACGGTTGCAGAATCATTCCAGCTTCAACCAGATAAATTCTCTCGAGAAAAATATCTGGTCGAGGCGGGAATCGAACACACGACCTTCCGATTATGAGTCGGACGCACTACCACAGCGGCCAATTCCATCGCGGCCAATTCCACCGCGGCCAATTCCGCGGTCCAGTAGTACATTTTGATTGCTTACACCAGCAATCGTTCAAGCTAAATCCAATTTGACATCAACTTATTTGAAGAGAAAACCACGAGATATATTTCTCGTTTTTTTTTTAATTCCTAAATAATTTCATTGAGGCCATGAAGTTCCATTATTTGGATAGATGAAAATATGATATTATTAGAAAAGTACAAAGTCTGTTAGCCAAAACATAAAAGGTTGTTTCAAAAAATTTGTCCGTTTTAATGTCCTGTGCTTTGTAGCCCCATCCTCAATAAATATTTATCCTGCTGTGTCGTGGTATATTTATATATACTGATCGATAAAGAGTTTTGTACTCTTTATGTTGTTGTTATGTTGTGTTATGTTATGTATGTCCCTAAATTCGAAAATGATAGTAAAAATTTCCTAACACGTAAGATTTTTGAGTTATGATTTTTTTCACAAAAATTCATTGAACACGACATTCCAAATTTGCTTTTTCCCTAAATTAGGGAAATTATTTAAAATCTGGCAACACAGTGGCTCTGCCCAGTATTTGAATCTGCTTCTGCTGTATTTGAGACTTGTTAAGTCGCTTCTCGAACTTCCGATACTCGAAGTTTCCAGAAAATACTAGAAATACGGAACCGCTATGAAAGTAGCAGGTTGACAATCGGATCATCAATATTGGTTTAATTACCGCGAGGTGTGCAAACACGCGAGTTAGTATTAGAGAAGCGAGGTGTGCAAACACGCGAATATTAAGAGTATTATATTAATGTTATCTTTGTAAATAAAATAAGTTGACTCCTGTAAACGCAGTATCACATATTTGAACTCGACGTACGCAACAGTACAGAAATGTCCAAAGTACAGAAACGTGGCTGATGCGTTAATCCTACAGATAGTTTTTGCTATATATGTGGTCAGTTTACTCCTAAATCGCAGAAAGAGACAATTAATCAAATGACCAAATTAGCTTACCGTAAGTATTTTGGATGTATTGTTGGTGATCAAGATCGAGCTCCTCACGTATGTTGCCAAACCTGTGCAGTAAATCTAAGTAACTGGCTGAATGGCAAGCGCTCTTCTATCCCTTTTGCAATTCCAATGATTTGGCGAGAAACAACAAATCATTACAACGACTGTTACTTTTGCATGACAAATGTGTCTGGTTTTCAAGAGCAAGAGCAAACACAAAATTCTATATCCGGATATTCCTTCTGCAAGAAGGCCGGTTCTTCATGAAGAAGGTTTACCAGTCCCAACATCCCCGGCAAATTGGGAGGAAGATTTGGAAATGTATGATGACCAGGCAGGTTCCCATGATGTGCCAGAAAAAGACGGTCCTTATTTTCCCAAGAGTGAAGGAAGAACACCCCATTTAATCGAACAACCTTAGTTAAATGACCTAGTTCGGGACCTCCACTTGTCCTGAGAGGGTGCTGAACTATTAGGGTCTAGATTACAACAATGGAATTTACTAGCCAATAAAACCAAAGTTACAATATTTAGGAACCGTAACCATGAGCTCCCTCGCTTTTTACTATGCAGGATAAAATGTTGTGTTTATTTAAATCCAAATGGTGTGATGGAAAAATTAGGATTTGCACATAACCCGGACGAATGGCATTTATTTATAGATTCGTCTAAAAAGCCATTCTGTTCCATAATGGTAATAAAAGACACTCTATTTCTCTTGCACAAGCAGTTGCCGTAAAGGAAACACACGAAAGTACCTATGTCACTTATTCTAAATGCAATAATTTATGATACGTATAAGTGGCAAATATGTAGATTCGTCTAAAACAAGTTTAAAAGCCGTTCATGAAGGAAACACACGAAAGTATGTCACTTATTCTAAATTATAATACGTATAAGTGGCAAATATGTGGTGACCTAAAAGTCATAGGACTATTACTAGGTCTTCAGGGCAAATTTACGGAGTTTTGCTGTTTTCTTTGCCTTTGGAACAGTAGGGCAACACAGAGCCATTAGGTATCAAGTGAAAGAATGGCCTCCGAGAGATAAATATATTCCAGGTCAAGCTAACGTGAAGAATATACCTCTTGTTAGTCCCAAAAACGTTTTGTTACCTCCATTACACATTTAACTGGGGTTAATGAAAAATTTTGTGAAAGCATTAGACCAAGAAGGTGATGCGTTTAAATATCTTAAACACGTTTTTCCAAAATTAAGTGATGCAAAGCTCAAGGAAAGTGTATTTGTTGGACCAAAAATTAGAAAACCACTAAGTGATCAACAGTTTGATCAAAAATTGAGTAATTTTGCATTAGCTGCGTGGAGTTCTTTCCAAAGAATTGTTCCGGAGTTTTCAGGGAAGAAGAAAGTAGAAAATTACGAAACACTTGTAGAAGAACTACTTGAAAATTACTGCAGGATGCTTTAAACTCTCATGTATAGCCATTATAATATTAGTCGCAATTTTTATTTCTTATTTGTTGACTTGCGTAATTATCAAGTGTAATTGAAGTTAAAAATGTTGAGTTATGAATTGAGTTATTGAATGAAAGTGTTACGTACTACATATTTATTAGGAACTATACATAGATCTTGGTAACTACGGTAGAACATAACATTATTGACAGAAGTGAAAAAAAATTAAGCATGCCTAATAAACATAATAAAGACAGGAGTTTGGTGTCAGATGATTAGTTTATAGTGTGGTACAAACTTGAAGAACATTCAAAGCACGCATAAGAAGGGAATGAGTTCAATTATGAATTAAAAACTCTTCATTTCCAAGCGGAAGATTTGAGACTCATCCTTTTAGAAGGTATGAAAATGATGAATTCTCAATTTCTAATGAGCGTTGAAATGACTTGGCACTGTTGAATTTGTTCCTACCGGGTTATCA